GGGCAACTCCAGTATGTTCCAATCCAGCACCTTTTACCACCAATAGATTGGCTATGTCTAAATGGTATTATGAGTAACATAGCCGATCATGTTCATTCAGCAGGTCTGACTTCTTTCAGGAGATAGACAAATCTGACCAGATTGAAGCATCCTTTAGGAAATAACATCCCTTGTGAGGCAGAGTTATTTTATTCAAATGTTAGGATAGCTCAACTTGTTTGTTCTTTATGCTAGGCTTAGCAATAATTACCTGAGAGGCTTATACAAATGTTTCACAGAGTGTGTTATAATTAATTATTATTGGTGTTGCTAAAATTAAGCTGGAAATGAATAGCCTGCAGAATTCAGAGGCTGTTCTGTTTATCTTTTGTGTATTACTGAATAAAATAGGTGATTAAACCAAGCTGGTTAGACTGTGTTGCTTAGCTGGGGTCTCTCCTGGAACTAGATTCACCAACCAAGCCCAGAGCTATGAATAATATTTATAAACAAACCCAGTCTCTCTCTCTCTCTCTCTCTCTCTCTCTAGTATCTCTCTCTCTCTCTCACATACACACACTTTGTCAAAAGACTAACTAAGGTTTATGAATCTTACAAGCCAACACAGGATAAGTTTGGAGATGGGATTTTAGTACAGATCATTATAAAACAGGGGCCAATGCAAAATCTGCTTTCAGGTCCAAATGGCCTCAAAGGCAGCAGGGTTTCAAAGTGCAGATTTTGGGTCCATCTTGAATCAAAGTAGTGAATGATGAATGGCTTTACTTAGTCTCAGCCCCAAACTGCTTGAAATAACATTTTAGTATTTCTCTAGAACTCAGAATGGGATCTCTTTTTTCAAAATATAATATACAGCGGTCAGTTTACTTTGAAGGACAGAACACTGTTACTTCCTCATTAACTATAGTGAAACTACTTGCCCAGTTATAATATGCCTGTGTAGCTTTATTTCTGTACCTTAATTGAAATAAACCCATAAGACTAAATTGGCTTCTCCCTGCCCCAGAGTAAAATCGATGTAATTATTGTTTGTTGAATGAAATTGCAAATTTGGGGATCTTAAATTCAGAACCTTAAAATCTTTTGAAGTTAATACATCACTATTCTTAACTAGTGATGAGCTAAGAGGTGATGTTCAGATCTGATTTTAGTTGGGATTTAGGATAGGATTCGAGATTTGGGTTCTGGAAATAGGGTTTAACTTTGGGTGCCCCACCATTAAGATCTCATTAGCTCTTCCTGTAAGATTTCTGCTACACTGAATGGGATAAGTGTTGTGAGATTGGCTCTTCTAAGATATCTGCCATTTTAGCCCACAATCTTGCAAGAAAAACAGTTCACTACTATCCAGTCAGAACCAGAAACTAGGCTCCTGCTAGTTTTGCATTCCAGTCTGTAACTAAAACTACAGTGACAGGTTTTTATCTTGAGATTCAAATCCCAAAGCTGACTCCACCTAAAGATTGAAAACGTTCAGGTTTGGGGTTCCAGCCATGTTTCATCTCTCCCTGGACCAGGATTTTCAGCAGAAATCTGTCAGCCCCATTGGTAACAGCTCAATTTTCAGTTGACTTCTGCCCTTATTTTTCCATTGGCTTTTCAATCATAGAATCATAGCAATTATAGAAGATTAGGGTTGGAAGAGAATTTAGGAGGTCATCTAGTCCAACCCCCTGCTCAAAGCAGGACCGACCCCAACTAAATCAACTTTTGTTGCCATCTTCATGGGAATGTGTATATACATTATGATTTTGGATTTGATATAAATGGGTTCACAACATCCAGATTTCACTTTCAGTTTCAGAACAGGAACAAACTTCAGTATATTTCACCTGTTATTTTCCCCTCCAAAATGACGATTAACAGAAAATCTCACATGATTTCTGTACAAGCCATAAATCATTCCAGGTTAATTCAAAACTGCACCTAGGTTTGATCAAAACCTTTTGCCAACCTGGAGCAAGTTAGCTGTTCTGTTCATTCCCTCTGGGGCACCTGGCATTGGCCTCTGTTGGAAGACAGGATACTGGATTAGATGGACCTTTTGGTCTGATCCAGTATGGCTGTTTATGTTCTTATGATCCCAAAGCAGGTGATTCTTTTGCATAGCGATTGGTATTTTATTGCTGATATTTTCCCTAGTACTTGTAAAGTTGAGCCACATTCTTCTTCCATTTATACCAATGATATTAATGTGAAATGAAAGCAGAACTGGGCACTAGTCTAGTAAAGAAGCACCTTAGTGATAAATAAAACCCCTACATTTGATTGTTGAGTTTATCGTGTTTAAGATACGCAACCAAAAGTCTTGGCTTTGCAAATCTAGGTGGGGCATCTTAAGACCCCTTTGAAGCCATTTTTCTTATTATATTTCTGCCCTCCTCCTTACAAATCCATACAAAGCCAGAAGTGCAGATGCTTAAAAGAAGAGAAAAACTTATCTGCAGAGTTTTTTTATATAATTGATTTCATAATACACCAGTGACACCAAATGAATAAGTTCCTGTGTAGTTTCCAGGCCAGGAATGACTGTGAGGAAGTAGAGGTTCCCTAGCTGCCAATATCTGTGTTGTATGTACGGATGAGTAACTTGAAGTCTTTAAACCATGGTTTGAGGACTTCAATAACTCAGCCAGAGATTACGGGTCTATTACAGAAATAGGTGGGTGTGGTTCTGTGGCCTGAAATGTTCAGGAAGTCAGACTAAATGATCATAATTGCCCCTTCTGACCTTAGAGTCTATGAGTTATTTTGCATAAGATAAGGAATTGCCTGAACTTTACCTTTACTTCAAAATTCAACAAAATCTATGTCTTTCAATGTCAATAAATGTTCATATGGGGACAGATTGTGAACTCCATCATCATGTTGAACAATAATTGACAACATGAGTAGTCCCACGGAATTCAGTGAGGCTGTTTATGGAGTAATGCATTACTCAGTGTGAGTATGGGGCTTGCAATATAACTCTTAATTTTCATAGAATCATAGAGGATTATGGTTGGAAGAAATCTCAGGTGGTCTTGTCGTCCAACCCCCTGCTCAAAACAGGACCAACCACAACCAAATCATCCTAGCCAGGGTTGTGGCAAGCTGGGCCTTAAAAATGTCTAAGGATGGAGATTCCACCAGCTCCCTAGGTAACCCATTCCAGTGCTTCACCACCCTCCTAGTGAAATAGTGTTTTCTAAAAAGAAAAGGAGTACTTGTGGCACCTTAGAGACTAACCAATTTATTTGAGCATAAGCTTTCGTGAGCTACAGATCACTTCATCGGATCCTAGACCTTGCCCACTGCAACTTGAGACCATTGCTCCTTGTTCTAATCCCCCCGCCCCGCTCCACACACTCCATCTGCTTTGCTTGCTTCCAGCCAGGGCTGGATCAGGAAATTAGAAGATCAAAAATATTAGAAGTCTTGTTTAAATGAAGCCATCAATTTAATTTCCAAACCAAGAAGATTTGGATTAGTTGGAATAAGCTTCATGTAGGCATCATGATGTTTCAAATACTAGAAATTATTAACTTGTTGAAGTTTCCTTAATTTGTATCTGAGATTCATCTCCCACAATCCAATTCCATTATGAATATTGCAGCATGTATATCTTTACTTTGAAATGTCACAGCAGTTGGGGAACTGCTCTTTTAAAATAAATGGTGCTTGCATAGACAAGGTGGACAAAATTGCTGGCACCTTTGGGATACTCTCAGCAAAAACAAGCATGGCTTTGTTGAAAGTTACAAAGGAAAGATATTTCACAGAGATCCTGCTTGCTGCAGAAAAGTGAGTTGGGAAATACATGCAGTAAACTAACATAAGAAGCCCAATTGTTCATGTTTTATGTAGCGAACAGCAATCGTTTCTCAATATACCACTGCAAAAATTGTCACTGGCTTGGTTAGATTAATATTGAGGGGGTATAGTCCTCTTAGATAAAGGATGCAACCCTAAAACTAAAACCAAATGGAACACTGGCTATAGCATATGGATATAGAGAATGATGTCCTCACTGCTTAAAATATAACTATCTACATCTAGTATTACCAGGTAGGTCGCATACAGTGCTTGGCTTGTCTGCAATATCAGTAGTTTAGTTTTACAGCTTGCTTATTCTGTCTGCCCTCCGACTTGCATGGAGGCTAGTCTGTGAAATACTGTATTCCAGTTGTATAGTCATTTCCCGCAGATTTAATTATATACTTGTTGTGCTGGGTTAAATATGCTGGCTACCAGGCAGACACTGCATGCTCAGCAAAGTCTTTTCTTTGCTTTTTTTAAAGATCAGGGAACGTTAGTGTCAGTGACAATAAATCAAAAGGTGATAATATCTGAGAAAAAGAAAACCTCGTCCGGAGAAAAAATCATAGCTCCTCTGAAGAGATGCCACCGCAGACAATATCATGTCTTGCCAGCACTGGACAGCGATATTCAAATATGCTGGGTATCAGCCTTCTGACCTGGAGAGACACTCAGATATGCATCCTATAACTTTCCAGACAGGAGGTGCGAGTACCACCAGCAGAGCCATAATGTCACACAGTAAAGAAGTAACTTAGAAGCTGTGTCATCCTCCTCACTTTCCACTGCAGACCTGACTTGGCAGTCGGTTTTGCAAGTGGTCTCTCCCACGTGCCTCTATGAAGGATGATTTACAGGCCCACAAGTTACACCTACACTGCCCAACATGCCGGTACCCCTTAAAAAGTGCCACAGTGGCATTGTCACAGGCAGAACGGAACAGTAAGCTAACAGCAGCAGGCTGACTGGACCCCAATGTCTGTAAAGGAAAGAGAAGGCTAGCTAAGGAAAAAAAAAGGATTACAACATTTTTCTCTGCAACAAAATTAAGCTGACTCATGGCCCCAGTCGTTAATTTCAATATTTTTTAATCCAAACCATCTTCAACTGAACTGTGGTGGGGAACAAGCCCCTTATCAAGCCATTCTTGTTCTCAGAAGTTTACACTCTGATCCACCCCTTGCTGTTAATTAAAAACTTACCGCTTTTGCCAACTCCCCCTGCTCCCAGCATCACCACCTTGTACTCCCGGGAGCCTGCTGAAGAATTGCTGGAGGAGCTGATCATTTCATTTTCTAGCTCCATCTTGCACAAGGGACCAGAGGAGAGTGAGAAGGAGGAAAAAGCAACTGACAAGTGCTTGCTCTGATCTTAAACAACTATAAAAGCAGCATAAATAAAAAAAAAGAAAGGTATGATACAAGAGGTATGATTTATCAGCCTCACACTCACGGCTGTTCCTGCGGTATCTGGAGAAGGTCTCATAGCAACCACTTTAACAGCTTCCAATAAAAATCTCTCTCTGCCCCCTCCCATCTCTGTATCATTCTCTCTATGTGTCTCTTCCTGGACAGAAGCAGTTTTGTAAGACTCAGGAGCTCTGCTGCATATGGGTGTTGCTATGTCTTTAGATTTTAACTAAGCAGAGCCTCAGGGGGAAAAAAATTGATCACATATCTCTTAATTCTTAAGCTTCTCAATGCAGAACTTATTTTATTTTAAAGAGAGAATGGAGGTGTAACAGCCAGTTGCTTTGCCACTGGGGCGTTAACCTGTGTTGACTGAAGTTGCCAGATTTGCACTCGGTTGAATGATCCATTTCCAGAAAAATAAGAGACAGCTTTATAAAATACTCTTTTTTTTTCTGTTTTTCAATGGTTTCACAAATAACACAACCTCTCCACTTTAGGATTTTCCATAGCATCCATTGTTTTCGTATCATTCACAGATAGAAGTGTTGAGTTTGAAGTATGCTTATTTGTAGACATTTGATTTTTCTTCCCATGAAAAGCTTCAAAAAATTGTCATTGAAAATGGCCACTATTTGAGAAACATCACTAATTATTTGTGAGTGTTTGGACAATGACTGAATAAGCATGGAAATATTTGTAAATCCCAGAAGTTTCATAGATTTTAGCAACCAGGGATTATCCAGCCAAATAGTCTTGCCAGCAGTTCATTATTTATTATTCTCCTTTTTAAAATATTTCAGTCACTCACTCAGGAAGCAGGAAAAATACCATGTGACTTATCTGACCAACCCGGATAATGAATAACAAATAGGCAAAGCACCGAGCATGAACACAACTCGAAAGGTTATTAAAGGGAGGGAATGGGAATAGAAGAAAGACACAGATAACTGCTGAGATCATGGGGTTGCTCAGGAATGTGTGTGCACATCTGGAAGGCTTTGTTCCTACTTCTTCACTTCTTGTAATTGTGTCACAAGATTTAAACAATTGGTAGAAAGCAGGATCCAGGTTTTAAAATGAAAAAAAAAAATCAGTCATAGAATTGGTTGGAAAATAGGGATGGAAAGAGATGAGGGGGGCATTTTGACTTTTATCACAAAACTGGGAACTTAAATTTTTCAGCAGACATTTACATTGTTTTTTTGTTTTGGGGTGAAAATGATCCGTTTTCAATGTTTTAGTTTTCTGATGAAAACTCAGATGTGAGGAATGCAGTCTCTTTCCATGTAAAATTTTGTTTAATCGAAAACTCAATTTTCCCTGAGCAAAAATCTTTGATGCAAAATTTTTGACCAGACCTATTCGAGAACTCCAGAGGTTCATTTCAATTAAGCGCAAAAGGCCAAAGTTTATAATAGGAGTCTAAATTTCGAGTCCCAAATATAGAGTAACTGGATGGATTTGCAAAACTGGTGAGCACCCAGCAACTGTCATTAAAGTCCATATTCCATTTTGCTCCCCCTCCCACTGCCCAGTGACTTTCTTGGGTGGGGGTATAGCTTTAGACAAAAGCTGTGGGAAGGACTTACATTTCAGCTCATTGTACAAAGATTTAGACAAACAGTTCACAATAAGGTGGCAGATGTAACTGTCTGTTGAACACACAGCAATATCATGCACTGAATTGAGAATGTCCCCCCAATATATTCTGGAGTAAATGTAACAATCATTGGATCAGAACAGGTAAATAATTCTCTAGTGCAGCTTTTCAATATAGATAGCTGGTTGGATGTAGTGAAGCATGCCATTAACACTGCATCACACTGCTTTATAAAGTGAGTAATACTATAGTCATTTGAAACTCCAAGGGGAATGTAAGGAGGCAGAATGTAATTACTTAAGATGGAATTTAGCCAAGACACTAACATTACCTCAGCTAGTTATACAAAATGAACCTTAATGAACACAAATGGCCAGAGCGCAGCTCCACCAGGCCACTCAGGCTGGGATCAATTCAACTCCAGGTGAAGTCAATGAGAAGATTCCCATTAGCGTCCATAGGAAATGAATCATTCTTATTGTCCTTAAAGTCACACTCAAGTGTTAATACAGTATTGACTCAGCAGGAAGAATGCAATATATCATCATCGTTTTCTGAAGCATTTGGGTTTTCCTGGTGGCATCCCAGCTACATAACCAACCCATTCCTCAGGAGTCTTCACCTTAGAAATTAGCAGTAAATCTTGGTTGACACTAAGATTTACCATGACTAGTGAAAAAGGGTGGGTGAGATCAGAGAGAACCTTTGAGAAATACTCTGATCACAACTAGCACTGATCATCTACAAACAAACAACTCTGGATCTCATAACCATTCCTTCCCATGATCAAAACCTTGTTCTGGTAGTTTGTAACCACAACCCTATTTTGGATAATCTTGCTTTCATTGAATCCTGAACTAATGCAAACTCATTAATTTCAGTCGTGTGAGATCAAGCTCTTAGACCCTAAGAAACCATATCTATTTTATGGCAACACTATGTATCTCCCCTTTATTATCCAAGTAGGAGCCTGGGCTTTAAGGTCTGATGCCTTTTCCTGCAGTAAACAGCAGCAGCCATAAGCTAAGAATCAGAGAGTCACATCCTCCCATTCCATCTAAATGGCATCAAAATAATGCGAAATTGGGCTGTTAAGGAGGCGCTCCTGTCCTAATAGTACCCACCATCACCAGATAAAGAAACAGATTTTAAGATGTTTAAAGAAAATTTTGTTTGATGGAATTCTGTCTGGCAATAAATCACTTATCAGCAGTTGTGACTGTGAAATCTATACTTCTGTATTGTTTTGCCTTTATGGCCCCTACTTCTCTATTGTTTATCGATATGGTTCCTCTCTGATTCTTTGATTGTTTCTGTCTGTTGCATAACTAATTTTGCAAGATTTAAATCAACTAAGGTGGTGGGGTGTCATTGGGTAAAGAATTGTTTCATAATGGGCTAGGATTGGTGAAAATACTGTTTTGTAGAACTTTAGTTTAAAATGATTGGTTAAGGTATAGCTAAGCAGGACCCAAGTTTAACTGGGGTCCAAAAGGAAGTTCTTCGGAACCTAATTCCAGGACACAGCCCAAGATCAGAGCTGTCAGACCTCAACACCCTGCCAATCATATCATACAGAAGTTGGAGCCCTGGATGACCTGATCCTGACTGTCCACCAGGAAAAAAATCTTCTTCCTTATTAGGAGTGGTGAACACTGTGTGCTTAGCATGTGTATTCTGCTTTCATAGAATCATAGAATCACAGAATCATAGAATATCAGGGTTGGAAGGGACCCCAGAAGGTCATCTAGTCCAACCCCCTGCTCAAAGCAGGACCAATTCCCAGTTAAATCATCCCAGCCAGGGCTTTGTCAAGCCTGACCTTAAAAACCTCTAAGGAAGGAGATTCTACCACCTCCCTAGGTAACGCATTCCAGTGTTTCACCACCCTCTTAGTGAAAAAGTTTTTCCTAATATCCAATCTAAACCTCCCCCACTGCAACTTGAGACCATTACTCCTCGTTCTGTCATCTGCTACCATTGAGAACAGTCTAGAGCCATCCTCTTTGGAACCCCCTTTCAGGTAGTTGAAAGCAGCTATCAAATCCCCCCTCATTCTTCTCTTCTGCAGGCTAAACAATCCCAGCTCCCTCAGCCTCTCCTCATAACTCATGTGTTCCAGTCCCCTAATCATTTTTGTTGCTTTGGTAACTGTTAATAAATAGAGGTTAAGGATATTAATGTGTAAGGCTCTTTCACTGGTAAAAGGCTCCGCAAACCCTCAGAAGATTATGCCCTGAGGAAGATTATGCCCCTAGGAACTGAGTAAGGGATGCTTTTTGCCCAGAGCCCTAGGAACTGGGAAGGGGTGGGGGTGCCTAAATTAACTGGACTATGCCATTAGCCCATGGAAGGTTAAAGGTGGGGTGCCCTAAAGTGTGCGGGTAACAGGGCAAGAACAGAGACTTTTGCGCTCAGGTTTCTTCTGAGAGAATTTGCACAAGGGTGGAAATTACTCATTGTAATCCACATACTGTAGTAAAGACCTCCAATGTAACTACCTTAATAACAATAACAGGAGGAAATTGCAGACCTATACCTGATGCTGTGATTTTTTGGGCCTTTACAATTTTTGGTGCATAATATAATAATCTGCTAATTCTAAATTGGCATTAAAAAATCTCCATATTTGTTCTATTTCAAAGGTACATTTGTCAGGATGAATAAATAGAAAAATGTCCCTGGCCAAAGAAGAGCATCCGCAAAGGTGGGGAAGAGCTGGGCAAATAATCCAAAATGAATAATTTATTTTAAAAGGTTTGCCTCTTTTGCTGTCCACAGATCGCTCATGAATAGATAGCCAGACTATCAGGTTTGTTATTCCGGATAATGTTTGCTCTGTAATTTCTGAAATTTTTTGCAAGCAGTTCATTGCATGCATTCAATATTTAAAATCTCAGTTGTTTCAGCTGAGTACATGTTGCTACTGTTAATACTGTAAATTGTGGTATAGACAAGATTGCGCCTTGAGGCATCATCTTCAGTAAGGGGCCTTGCTCCAGGGCAAGGACTAGAAGAGACTGTGCCTCAGAGACTGAGCAAAACAGTATTCTACCCAGGGATGCCTTCTTGCTCTGGGGTTGTGGAAAAAAATAAAAAGGGTAATGCCACATGTGAATGCTATGTGATTGCTGCCTGCAGGACTTTACCTTTGAAAGACTTTATCAATTAACCTGGACAAGTATTCTTGTCACTAGGCAGAGAGCTTGGAATTTTAAAATCTTGAGTCACAAGCAAAATGTAAATCTTAAGAGATTTGTGTTCTATGGGTTAAAAGACATGTTCACTTATTTAATAATAAGTGAATATGCATGAGCACATTGGGGACCATTCCATTAAGGAGATACTAACTGCTCTTCCAAGCCTCATCTTATCCATAGCATTCGGAAGAAATGTTTAACAAAGGTTTCAGAGTAGCAGCCGTGTTAGTCAGACTTCATCGGATGCAGTGAGCTGTAGCTCACGAAAGCTTATGCTCAGATAAATTGGTTAGTCTCTAAGGTGCCACAAGTACTCCTTTTCTTTAAACAAACAAACACCACCACAATCCTTTGCGGGGTAG